GGAAAACAAAGCTCTTCAACTTGAATCTGAGTTGAGAAACATCACCATGGGTGATTCCTCTGTTACGGACTACTATACCCGCATAAAAACCATAGTTGATTTACTGGAGAACCTTGATGCTCCTGTTCCTGAAAGAAATCTGGTGTCATACACTCTTAGTGGTCTAACAAAGAAGTTCCGGTACATTGCCACCACCATCCGTCATCAAAGGCCTGTTTCATTTTTCATGGACACCTGCTCTATGCTAATCATGGAAGAACATCAAATGCTTCAAGATGATCAAAAAATCGTTGCCGTGCCTCACTAAGATCATTCATCTTCCCCTACTATTCTTGCTACTGATGGCTCCTATCAACATCAAAACAATTCTCAAGGCCCCAACAATTTCCGTGGTGGAAGGGGTGGCCGGAATGGTCGTGGTGGCAGGACAGAAGATCAGGAGGTAACAGGTCTGGTGGTACATCTCAGCAGCGAAACCAACCTCACCCACCAGCCGGGTGGGCTTAGGGATGGTACCAAGTCCAATAGCAGCAACCGGCCCAACAAGGCCTGTTGTCGAACCCAGCTTCACCAGCCCAGCAACACTTTAGCGGCTCCAAGCAATCAGCCTAACAACCTCATTTTTTCTTTGGGCCTCCTTCTGTACCTGTCCAGCAAGTATTTGTATCCCTCATCAGGTCCAACAACCACATGAACAACCCACTGCCATTCCGGAAATGTTTAATGCTATGTCCTTAAATGATCTGACAAATGCGGGATGGTACATGGATACCGGTGCTACCTCGCATCTTCATGCAAATGCAGGTATACTTAAAACTGTTTTAGATAAAAGCAATTTTTCTTCATCTGTTTTAGTTGGGGACGGATCCACAATCCCTGTAAGTAAGATCGGACACACCACAATTCCTCTCCCTAATCCTTATTGTACTCTTGTTTTGAAAAATGTTTTAGTCGCTCCCCAAATTATTAAAAATCTCATTTATGTCCGTCGTTTAACTTGTGAAAATAATTGTTCCATTGAATTTGACCCTTTTGGTTTTTCTGTGAAGGATCTTAAAACCAAACACATTCTCATGCGATGTGATAGCACCGGTGACCTCTATCCGATCACTACTCCTTCTCCTCAAGCATTTGTTTCTGTTGCGCCGCTTGTCTGGCATCATCGACTCGGTCACCCTGGTCATCACGTCTTCAAGCAATTAGTTGATAGTCAAGCTATTTCTTATTCAACCAATAAAATTTCAACTTTATGTCAATCTTGTCGATTGGGCAAACATGTTAAATTGCCATTTACTTTATCTAATTATGTTTCTAAGTCGCCTTTTGAACTTTTTCACTCTGATGTTTGGACCTCTCCGGTCACGAGTATTAGTGGCATTAAATATTATGTTATCTTTCTTGACAATTTCTCTTATTTTTTGTGGGTTTATCCCTTACGTGCCAAATCAGATGTTTTTTCTAAATTTGTTCATTTTCGGTCTATTGTTCAAAATCAATTCAAAACCAATATTAAAGCTCTACAATGTGATAACGGGAGTGAATACAATAATAATCAATTCCATCAACTTTGTGATCAAAATGGAATTCTCATGCGTTATTCATGTCCTCATACATCTCAACAAAATGGAAAATCTGAACGCATGCTTCGCACTATAAACAATATTGTTCGTACCCTTCTCCTTCATGCTCGCCTCCCTCCCGATTATTAGGTTGAGGCTCTTCAAATGGCCGAAAATATCTTAAACATCCTTCCATCTACCGCCATTGACAATAACACACCGTTTCATAAAATTTACCGTATTCACCCCACATATGATCATCTTCGAGTATTCGGGTGTCTTTGTTTCCCTCACATCGTCACCCCTCATAAACTTTCACCACGCTCCACTACGTGTGTCTTTCTTGGATATCCCACCAATCATAAGGTTTATCGGTGTCTCAATCTCCATACAAAATAGATTATTATCTCTCGACATGTTGTCTTTGACGAAACCGTGTTTCCATTTGGATCCATGACTCCTGATGCTCCCCCGTCTTACTCGTTTCTTGAAAACATTCACCTCCCTTCCAATCTCTCATCTCTACTTAATGCAAACTCTCACTATCATGACTCCAATTTCTCCTTTACTCAATCGCCTCCTTCTGCTCACGGTTCTGAGGAGGAGCCTCCTCATGAGACCTCCTCTCCTTTTCCTCTAGATGATGTGGCTACCTCAGCCACCACTGATCATGTCTCATCTGTCGAGAGCACTCCCTCGGCAGCCCCTATAAATTCCACTTCCAGTTCTGCCAATTCGCTTCTGTCTCAATCCCATCGTCCCATGCTCACACGTGTTAAACGGGGCATTAAAAAGCCTATTGACAAGCTTAACCTTCATGCCGAGTCATCCTCTCCTCTCCCCCAAACTTACTTACAGGCATTTAAGCTTCTGTTGGGCGATATAGTGGCGGTGGTCAAATACTTCAAAAGACATGAAACTTTGGATATCTCGTGTAGTTCCTCCTTTATTTCCCTAATCCCCAAAGTCAAAGACCCGCTTCTTCTCAGTGATTACAGACCGATAAGCCTAATCAGTTCTATTTACAAAATTATTGCAAAAATATTGGCGGTGAGAATCAAAAAAGTGATGGGTCATTGCATCAACGAGGTACAATCGACATATGTTGAGGGCAGAGATATATTAGACGAACCGTTGGTGGTGAATGAAGTATGTGCATGAACGAAGAAATCAAAATCTAAAATTCTCTTATTTAAAGAAGATTTCGAAAAGGCGTTTGACACAATAAATTGGGATTTTTCAGACTCAAATTTACAACAAATGGGATTTAGGGAAAAGTGGAGGATGTGGATCCAGGGATGCCTTAAGTCAACGAAAGCTTTAGTCCTAGTTAACAGAAACCCAACGGATGAGTTTAATACCTCAAAAAGGGACCGTCAAGGGGATCAGTTGTCACCGTTTCTGTTTATAGCTACAATGGAAGGTCTAAGTGTGGCAATGAAAGAATCTTACATTAATAGGGTGTTCAAAGGCATACAGATGCCACATGGAGGTCCGATGATCACTCATTTATTGTACGCCGACGATGCGTTGTTTATCGGAGAGTGGTCCGAACAAAATATCAAAAACTTGGCTAGGGTCTTACGTTGCTTTCACGTATCTTCGGGTTTTAAGGTAAACTTTAACAAATCAAAAGTCTATGGTATTGGTTCATATACAACTGAAGTTGCGTGTTGGGCAAGGCCTCTCGGATGCGAACCATCCGCCGTACTGTTCACTTACCTAGGCTTACCTGTGGGGGCCAACATGAAACTGAAGAAGCACTGGAAACCAATTGTGGATAGATTTCGAGTAAATTTGCCAATTTGGAAAGCAAAAGCACTTTCATTCGGGGGACGACTAACGTTCATTAAATCGGTAATGGGGAACCTCCCCATATACTTTCTATCATTATTTGTAGCACCCGAGGGTGTAATCAATACATTGGAGAAAATCAGACGTCGGATCTTATGGGGGGGGGGGGGTCGGAGGAGCAAACAAAAATCAATTGGGTTCCATGGGAGAAGTTAATAGCGGATAAGAAGTTAGGCGGTTTGGGGGTGGTTTCCTTAAAAGCATTGAATACTTCCTTTATTGTAAAAGGGTTGTGGAGGTTAAGAGTGGAACAAATGGCATTATGGACAAATGTTATAAAAGGTTACATAATATTCAAAACAAATCGGATGAATATTACTCGAAAAAAACATTGACAGGAACTTGGAAAAACATTACTGGTGCAAAGAAAGATCTGGAGAAAAAAGGAGTCTCAATTGATCAGGAAATTAAAAAGAATGTGCAGCCACTTGGTGTAACTTGGTCATGTGGCCTCATGACTGATGGTGAGTATAAAGTCAAAGCATTGAGTGTTAGATTGTAAACTCAGGAACCGGTAGACATTGGAAAATTCTTATGGATTAAATAGGTGCCTTTAAAAGCAACGAGCTTCGTATGGAGAGCTTGATTAGGGGGAATACCAGCTGTTGTGGAACTCATCAAAAGAGGGGTGATGGTGGACTCAAATATTTGTTAACAGTGCGGGAATGCGGAAGAGACGGTGGATCACATTTTAGTATAATTCCCTTTCGCAATGTCAGGCATGGAGTGGCTTTTTAGTTGGTGTAATATCCCTTTGGTCAGCTTGAATTTGGTGTTTGATGTTTTGGATTATGCCTTAAATTGGGGTTACTGTCCAAAAAAGAGAGTGAGATTTGTTGGTATATATTACAAAATGAAGTGGAGTATGTGGAAAGCAAGGAACGATTGGCGGTTCAACAAAAACAAACTGGCACTTACAAAAGTTGCAGATATCATCAAATCCACCACTTTTGTCTGGTTCAAACAAAGAAGTGGTAATGGGAGTCTTAAATGGACGGATTGGAGTATACAACCATTCTAAACCTGTGGTTTTTTTCTTAAAATTGTCTGCATACTTTATTTTTCTCTTATTTCCATATTGTATCTACTTTGGGTATTTTCCTAGCTTCTTGTTAGGGGCCCTTTTTCTATATTCATTTGCCAGTTCCCAAAAAAAATTAATTGTTTTTATTTATCCTCCTACTTATAAGATTATCATAAGTGTCAAAAGATAAAACGAGAAAATAGAATTAATATTTTACGCATGAGAGTCATTAATGAGCAGAAGGATGCTTAGAAGGATTAAGAATTAAGTAGGAAGCAATTTAATTTTACTGAATTCATTATTTCACCGACAAACACCATTGGTATTCTTGTTATTTTTCTTTCACTCTTCCCACCCATAGTAGACGCATCCTTGAAGTTTTGATCTTCGTCTCTTCCCTCCTCATTTTCTACGTTTTGTGTATCTAAGAATTTTGTTTTGCAATTCGTTCCTCATCTCTTTCAATCTCTTTGTCACATTTCGGTCGATTAGGTCTTTGACGGGAAAAACCTAATTTGGTTTGGGGGTTCTTAAATATTTTGCAGTTTTCAAAATTAATCATTATGACAAGTAATTCAAGGAGAAAATCCCACAAGAAAAACAAACATAGTTCAAGGGAATACTCAGATGTCGACGAGGATGTGAAGATGAAAGAGATGAATGCTAGTAGCGATGATAAGGAAAATGGGGTTTCAATTAAGGTTTCCAAAGATTCTTTAGTTTTCAGGAGGATAAAGGAAACTTGGTAAGGATCTATCCGGTGTTCATGGTAATGGCAATCTGCCTGAGGAGTATGCGACGCCTTCAAATCGGCGGAAAAAGAAGACTAATGGCGAGGATGAGAAAATTGATAGTGCAAACTTAGATGATAAGAAGTCGAAGTCGAAGTCAAATGAGTTCTTGAAACTTGTTGGTGAGTCTAAAAGCATTAGTATCAAGAAGGACGATATTTACAGTGCAAATGTTGATGAAAGTAAAGATGATAAAGAACCGAAGGATAACGATCGTAGGTCAGAAAGGGAAAAGAAAAATAATGGTAAATCAACTTTTTTCTTCTTGATATGTTTGCTAACTAGTAAACTAGTTAAAAAAGTAGAAGTATTTACATAATTACATTATCTCTTCTTCCAGAGTGGCCTGTAGAAGGAGTGCGAAACATTGAATTAGAAATGGAGTAGGAAAAGAGGATGAGGAGAAGGGGAGAAGGGTACAAGAACAAGGATAGATATCATGATGTTGTAAAAGAAGATAATGATAGATTGTTGTCTACTAAAAGTAGTCGTGTGAAGGACTTTAAACACAAAGATGAAGGGAATGGAGACAAGTACAGAGAAACTAGACACATGGAAGATAAAAGCAGGGAAAATGGCGAAAGAGTCAGCAAGATTAAGGATGTCAAGTACAAAGGAAAAAAGGGAGAAAGATAATAAACACAAAGATGATAAGTACAATGAAGATAGTAAAAGGAGGATAAGTATCATGTTGATAGTGATAGAGATGACAAACAGAGAGATAATATTAAGAAGTATAAAGAAAGTGGTGGTAGGGTTTAAAGAATTATGGATAACAAGTATAGAGAAAAAAGAACAAGTGATCCCAAACACAGAGATGTAGACTGTTATCAAGTTGTTAGACACAGAGACAATAAGGATAAAAGTAGAGATAATGATAAAGATGAGGGTACTATTTATAGAACTCGTAAAATGGAGGATCAGAATTGTAAATCAGAGAAAAGATCTATGAGTGATGATAAGGTTGACCAAATTTTAGTCAACCATGATCGTCACAGGAGTTCCCTTAATGGGAAATATTACCCTACAATATATCATCACATGTATGTTGTAGTTTTATCACTTCTAAGATTCATAATCCTCTATTCAAGCTTGAAGATGTAAATTATTGTGTCGTTGCTTTTGATATTGCATGATGTTTGGTTGGATGGAATGGAATGAGACTTATTTTACCTTTTTATCAACCACCTATTGTTAATTAAGTTCTTATTTTTCTTTCTTGTTTTGTAAATTTAACCCTTTTATTCAATACTATTTCATTCCATTCCATGATGGAATAAAAAGGAAACGCCCCTGCCTAAGGAATGGAATTTACAAAATGAAGGAAATCAAGGTCCATTCCATTCCATCTGCCATAAAAAACATTTTTTTTCATTCCAATGGAATGAACCATTCCATTCCCTCTCTGATTCCATCGTACAATTTGAAGATGTAAAGTATGTGGTAATGTATGATAACTATATTGTAGACCACTTACATAATATTATGATCAATTATGCATTTTTTTCATTATTCAGGGTCTCAAAACAAGAAGAAGCCAAATCTAGGGACTATAATGGTAACTCCAACAAAGATTTCACTTCTGCAAATGGGCAATCTAATAGAATACCAGAGAAAATCACTCAAAAGATGAAAATTTATCTGTTTCATCACCATATATGAGAAATAATCATTTTTCCAACAATAATAAGTCATTTTTTCTTCCTCAAATCCCTTTCAGAAGTCAAAATAATTGGAAAATATTCCAAATTGGCCCTACTCTTTACCCAACAATAACTACATTCAATTTCCTCCAAATTTTAACCAATTTACACCTCTAATCTTCCATCAACCCCCAATTTACCATGAATCAGTTCCACCTTTGTCACATAATTGGGGAGCAAATAATTCAATATTTGAATATGAGAGGGTAGATTTGGAAAATAGTAAAACTCAATCCAACAATCAAGTGTGGGAGGACACTAGGGTTACTGTAGACATGCAGTCTCCTGATTTTTTGTCAGAAAAACGGATATTCAGGTTGAAACCATGAAGAACATTCCAGAAGCTATGAAGGTTAAAAAGGAGGATGATAGTTATATTTCTAGTGTTTATCTTTCAAAGATCGACATCTCTCAAGATCTTTCAGAATCTTATCTTTATGATTAGTGCACAAACATGTTGGATTTTGATCAAGCATCAGAATGTGATGAATTTGATTTCAAGATCTTGTTTTTAGAGGTAAACATTTTTTGTAGTTAATTTTACATCTAATCATTTAGAGTGAGTGACTAACAGCTTTGTTCACTGAGTATAGCGGTTTTTTGCACTTTTGCTCCTTGTTTTGGGGTATTTGTAATGTTTTTGGTTCCTGTTGGAAAAAATGACTATTTTTTAGACTAAAATTGCAAAAAACCTACTATACTCAGGGACCAAAGATAGTCAATAGGGACCAAAAATGTTACAAAAACAAAAAACCTCAAATGAGGATTGAAGTTGCAAGAGAAGTTTTTTTGGACCAAAATTGCAAAAACAAGCTATACACAGGGACCAAAAATGTAATTTATTTTCTGTGTAACGGGAACAGGAGGGTATAGATATAGCAGCTGATGTCGACAATGGTAGTTTGCTATTTGCTACTATAAACAATTGTGTTTTTATGGTTTGTGTTCCCATTAGGATTTAGGCATTGGATCATGAAATAATTAATTGAGCATAAATTTTAAGAGGCATATGTTCAGCTGGTCTTTACCTTGCTTGTAGCAATGTATGTCTCTTTACACCAAGAAAAGGGCAAGGCATCAAGATAAAGGTGGTGAAGATAGTGATGCCGGAGTTAAAGATTCCAGACTATCAACTTCGGAGAATATGGAATTGGATGCCGGAGTTAAGGATTCCGATTCCGATCATAATTGTGATGGTGGTTCTTTGTTAATTGAGTTTGATTCGGTAAAATTAAGTCGGGTACATCATCATTCTCACATTGATTGAGACTTATCTCTATTCAGTCTGCTTTTATATTTTATAATCTTTTGGCTTTCTGTTCCTCCCTTACTTGGTTAATAATCAATAAAACTTGTTTTTAACTCCATTTAAATTTTAAAATGCTTTGCTTTTGTAGTTGTTGGTTGTTTTTTTTTCAATTAATCTCGAGTGAATCAAAGGGTTAACTTTTACAATCTTCACAATGATTATGTAATCAAGCGAAGCCTAAAGAAAAGCCTCAAAACCTTATACATCATCTTATTAACATGAATATGCTACTACAACATCCAGTTTTGAGAAGTTTTCTATTTCAGGATTGTGGACAATAAATGGACCAAGTAAAGGCCTTGGGCTTCAAGGGAATAGGGTTTAGAACCCATTGGATGATATGATAATACTGGTTACGTGATCTAAGCCTTGGTTTTTTGTTTTGGAGTCAAAAGGAAAAGTGGGAAAAGTGATGTTTCGGGCTTCCTTTATGAATTATGGTTTTTAGTTCGGCATGTGTTAAGCCAAAATTAACTAGATAGATGTAACGCCCCAAATTTCAACCCAATATTTTCAACTAAAACATTAAGTGTTTATTCAAATCACAACTACAATAGTCACAAAGACAGCTAGCATCCTACATATACAATTTAGTGAGCCGACAATGGTGCCTTCGACTCACAAGCACAGGGAGGAGACTCACTTCAAACTGCTGAAATAACCAGATAAATGCTCGGACTGCTGATCCGGGAAACCTCCACATTAAATATTATTAGATAAGATCCTAATTAATAATCAGGTCATAAACCATAACCTAGCCCTGCCCAAAGACACCCAAAAGCCTAAAATGGACCAAATTCCTAAATGGTGCTCAATGCCCATTACGGACCCAAATCCAAGAAGGCCTAAGGCCTATCAATGACCCAAAGTCAGAAAGACTAGTGGCCCAATAAGGCGTAAAACCCTAATAGTCTAAATCCCACAACTATTCTCTTTAATGGAAAAAAGACCATGTTTCCCCTTCCATGGTCCAAAACCCTAAATCTTGACCAAAAGTCAAAAATAAGCAAAAGTCAACTGCCCAACGCGTACGCTGTAAGAATATTCTCTCAAAAGTCATCCTTTGTCCAAAGGTGTGTTGTGATTCCATTTGAGGTGCAACAATTGGGGCACTAAGTTCTTAAAGGCCAAACACAACAAGTTCTACAAGCCACAACGAAGAGGTAACTCTATAACTCAATTCTATGTTGTTTATATCATTTTGTATGCTAGTTGTAGGCTTAATGCTTTGGAAACAATATTTCATGTATAATTAGAGAAAACATAGCTCCAAAGTATTTAGGGTTGTACGTGCACCATAGGATGTTGTAGTATACCAAAACCCAACAGTTGTATCAGAGCCATGGATTGTTTTCTATTATATTTGGTGCAAATGTGTTATTTTTCAAAGCTGAAAAAACTGTCTGACAGCCCTACTCGACGAGTCCATGCTTGAACTCAACGAGTAGGATGAGTTTTGTCTTGGACTCGTCGAGTCCAGTATGGGGATCGACGAGTTGCCTGTCCAAACAACAAATTTTCGAGTTTTTTGGCCTGTTTTGGATTAGTATCATTACCACAAAATGTTTTAGTTCATAAAATTTGATTTTGTTGATATGGTAATGATGATTCTCATCCAATGAAAAGATAATAAGTCAAAATTTTAAATTGCGAGTTTAAATGATAAACTAATTTTCTTGTAAATTGTTGATATGAATTGTCTTGACTTATGAGTTAACTTAGATCATGAAAAATTATATGTTATTTTTGTTTGGAAAAATTGATCTTAAATGTTTTAAAGTCTTCCATAACTTGTCCTCAAGTTATGGAACATGAAGAGTCTTTTACATAAATGTTTTTTATGAACTCCATAATTTGTCCTCAAGTTATGGAATTTCTAGAATCTTTTCATAAAAACCACATTAACTCATAAGTTATGGAAACCAATAGTTTTGACAAGTTTCAAAACTTGCCCTCAAGTTTTAGAATTTGTAAATGTAAAGTCTCACTTTTAATACTTTAGTTCCAAACCCTAGAGTTTTAATAGTTAAAATTCTACGCTTATACTTTATATTATTATAAGTTTAATAATTATATATATATGTATAAGACAAGTCAGTCTTACCGTTAGTAGGCATCATTCACGAAGCCGGTCTATAAAGGGGTATAAGGTCACTGCCTATAAAATGGAAGTTTAATAGGTGTTCACTCTCACCCACCGCTTCCTTGATTGATGGAGGGTCGTTAGCCGAACGGGTAGGATAGGACATTAATTTTCATTAAAAGTATAATGATAATTATAAAGTAACTAAACTTTTATCAAATTCCCAATCTTAGTTACTTTAGGAAAAAATGTGAAAATGGTGCTATTCCATGAAATTGCACTTTGCACCTTG